TTATGATCAAGACCCACTACAACCAAGTACATCCGACAACTTAAGTACCTCAGAATATTTAGCGAATGTTCACCTTGTAGTCGATTTAACCGACTTTGGAGATGAAGCCATTGTTCACAGAGAGGATGAACCTGTTCATTGGAGACTTTCACCAAGATCCATATTCAGATTCATCTGGTGAGGATTCCGAATCAGAGTAATGTAGACGCTTTTTTTTTTAATTAAGAATTTCCAACGAATTTCCGAGGAAGTTGTTCAGATTCCTCGAAATTCCCTCGGAAATTCCTTATGTAAAAATGTATTTGGGATATATAATTTAGGTTATAGTCCTCAAAAGTTCCTCTGAATATTCTGAGGAATGATCACATTTCCTCGAAATTTTCTCAGAATTTTCTGAGGAAATTTCGACGAAATACAATTTTTGAACCGAAAACTCCCTGTTACGGTTAGAAAATATAACAATAAGACCTAAATAAGTATTATTGACTATCTTAAATAGATTATGAGTCAAAATATTTGTTTATCTCCAACTAATTAAATTTTTCCGATTGTATGAACGAATTTCGTACACCATAAGAGAAACACTTAGATATTTTAACAAACGGGAACAACAATACTTGTAATGGATTTTGAAATTTTGTAATTTCATTTTCTATGCACATCTATAGAGAGAATCAGGAATACTATGTATTGAACAAGTTTAAAATTATGTAAAAAAGTATCTAGGGTCTAAAAATCGAGGTTTTGAAACCCCACACATTTCGAGGAAATTCTGAGGAATAGGGTATATTCTTTTCTCAAAACTGATGTTTGACAAATTAATAAACATTTTGAGGAGATTCCAACGGACTTTTAAGATGTCCAAATTTCTTTGGAAATTTTTCATTTAACCGGGAAGCAGAACCACCAAAATTTTTCGAAAATCGAATTAAGTGATTTCCGGCGGATTTCCGAGGAACCTATTCCGTCGGAATTTTCTGATATATCTCACTGACTGTTTCTTCTTCCCCATTTCTCCACTCTCTCTCTCTAAATATCCTCCGACAATCTCTCTTCTCTCTCTCGATAATCTCCGGCGAAACCACTCTTTTCTTCCTCAAATTCGTTCATAAACTATGTAAGAACCCTATCCCCCTCTCTTAGGTTCTTTGGTTAGGTTTTGCAATAGATTTGATGATTTTGAAACTGTTTTGATAGAACTTTGTTAGGGTGATTGGTAGATTATTGTGTAATAGGTTTGATTGTGGTATATTGTTGTGTAATAGGTTAGGATTGTGATTGATCTAGAAATTTTTATTGAGTTGAATTGATTTAGAATCTTTATTAAGTTTTTATTAATTTTTTATATTTATTAAAACATTTTTTGTATATAAAATTGGTTTCTGGTTTTATAAAAGATGATTTGTATTTTTATAAAACTATTTATATATTTATAAAAACAGTTCTTGTATATAAAAGGTTTGTATATTTATTTAAACTTTTTTGGACATATAAAACTCTTTTTACATTTATAAAAGATTTTAATATTTATTAAAACTATTTTTGGAAATATAAAACTATATATTTTTATATTTATAAAAGTATTTTTATATTTATTAAAACTATTTTCGGAAATATAAAACTATTTTGGATTTATAAAAAAATTTCTATATTTATATAAAGATTTTTATATTTAATTTTTTTATACTTGATTATCACTTAATAATATTTTTTTTTTAATTTGCAGGTCTGGTAGCGATAACCAGTCCAGGCGTCGCCGTTCCTCACCACAAGGTCGGGGTGGTTTGACGGGCACCTCTTGTGGTTCTGCATCCTCCCAAAACTAATATGTTGACGATTCTCCTCCCCCTCCTGCTTCTGCTCCTCCAGTCGTTCAGGTTATCATGATTGTTGAACAATTGGTTCAACAGCCTGGTCGAGAGCATCTTCTCGTTCTCACTCTGCATCCAAAGGGACGACAGCAAAACATGGTTAGATTTCTCTTTAATTTATCTTTTTCTTTCATTATATTTTGCTTGATTCTGAATTTTTTTTATTAGGTTCAACCGGTCTGGGAACAGGATCAGCACCTTCATCAATCGGATGATGTACTCGACGCTCAAAAAGGGATATCTTACCTACACCAGGTTTCCTCCTGAGGATCAGGAGATGTGATTCCGTCAGTTTGCGATATTTCTTTTTAATTTTTTAATTTATATTTTCAATCTTTGACTTAAAATTTTTACTAATTATGTTTTTGTTTTCAGCAACAATTCAACTGGAATCCCCTCGAGACGGCCTATGTCCATAATGAATTCCACCATAAAGTCATAGACAATTAGGGGAAGCAGATCTATGAGTGGAAGCAAAAGTGGCTCAAGGGAAAGACACCGAAATTGATTAACGAGACGGTGTGGCTCGAGTTGCAACAACATTGGGAGAAGGTGGAGACGCAAGATACCTCGGTGACCAACTCCAACAACCTCAAAACCAGACGTGCCGGGAAGGGCGTCTCTGTGCACAATTTGGTTGCTTGCAGTATGCCTACTCTGAAGGATCGACTAGTAACTTGTATTTTTTTTGCTTATTTATTTCAATTTTTAGTTTTATTTGAATTTGTAATGTTTTTTTATCAACAAATGCCTTTTTTGTTCAGGCGGAATAAAATGATGGTGAGCCGGTTGATGAACTCGTGCTAATGAAGGATGCGTATACCAACTAGAAGACCAGAGAGATTTCGAATGATGTTGTGAAGGAGGTGATCGACTTGGTCGAAACGTACAAGGATGAAGAGATGCAACGTCTATCTCAGCTTCTCTCTGACGACGACGCCACTACTGCTGCTTCCACCAACCTGTCTCGAGCTCGAATCAACAAACTCGTTGAGTCGGTAAGATCTTCATTTTAATTTACAATTTAATTTTCACTATTTTTTCATTTTCTCGTCTTTTTTACTGTTTGAATTTTTATGTTTTCTTTTTTTTTTCCAGGCGGTTCCAAGGAAGAAAGACCGTTTGTTCAGCTTGGCTCGTCGTTCCAAGTCAGTTCCTTCTACTTCAGAACCGGCTTTTGTTGATCCGACACTTATGGAGAAGTTGCAGAACAAGGATGACCGCATAGTAGCATTGGAGAACCATAACGCCACCATTCTTACCCAGAACGCCACCATTCTTGCTAGTATGGCCGATCAGCAAGCTGAAGTGGAGGAAACGAAGAAAAAGAACCAAGAGATGCTAGATATGATGCGGCAGATGTTTACGCACGAGTTCTAGTTTGGGTTTTTTTAATACTCTGAATGTTTAATTTGTAAAGCTTTAAATATTTTAACATGTTTTCTTTCAGATTTAATTTTATATTTTAAATTTAATTCATAATACAAAATAATTATTATATAAATATTTTTAAAAAACTAAAAAATCATAATATTCTGACGATCGAGTTCCTCATAAATTTTTGAAGAACATGTACCCTCGGAAATTTCCGAGGAACGTAGCCGTCGGAATATTTTGAGGACCAAGTTTCCTCAGAAATTTCCGAGAACCCTCGGTATTTCCCTCAGAATTTTCCGACTGTTGAGCTCCGTTGGCATTACTCCGACGAAGTGTCCGTAGAATTAATCCGATGGAAACCACTCGTCGGAATTTCCTCAAAATATATATCTATCGGAAGTCGTCGGTATTTCTTTAGAGTCTCTGACAAAATTTCAAGAAAATATTTTTTTCTGACGACCTTTTTTTCAGAATTTCGTCGAAATATGAATAAGCATATTCCGATGAAATTCTGAAGAAAACTGTCGTCGGAATTCATATGTTTTTTTGTAGTGTTAAAATGTTTCCTTAACCATTATAAACATAACACTTTCCATTTTGACAATGAATTCTGCTGGGAACTATCACACCATGCAAAGTTAAGTTCAAAAAAAAACTATCACCATGCAAAAGTATTTCTTTCTGCTGTAACAAAGTATGTACAACAGATATTTCTATGCATCTTTTTCACTTTTAGATAACATCTACTTTGAATGATCATATAAACACACGATGTAAAAAGAATAAATAGCCTATATGTTCTCACTCGCATATACTTCAAACTGAAGGCAATTACTCCCTAAAGTTGGTCAAAATTTGGCTGATAAGGAAAAGAGAAAACCGGTGGTCAAACTTTCGGGATGTGGAAGAACAAGAGGAGACCATCTTATAATATAGAGTCGATGATAACATTCCAACTAGAGAGAGAATGTTTAGTTAGTCAATTCTAATATGCATGAAACATTAGAATTTAGTAAAAAGAAAGAGTGAAATAAACGACACAAACTGCAGACAACATAATTTAGAGGTAGATTGTTTTAAAATAAAACTCCAACTAGGGAGAATGTTTGATTATTCAGTCCTTGTTTTTAATGTCGCTCAATTAGTCAATGTGCATGGAACACAGAATTAAGTAAAAAGGATGAAACTCTCTCGAAAAATCATAATATGCTACGTTACAATTTTCCGATAACTAAAAAAGCTAGTAGCTAGTGAAATCATTTTGTACTTCTAAATAAAAATATTTTAAACTAATAAACATAAACTAAAATAGCAAACAAACAAATTTAAAATATTGTATCCCTAAATTGTTTTGGCCGTTAATCTGTAATGCGTGACCAAATTTTTACCTTTGTAATTTATTTCACTTCATCCTATTTCTTTTAATTTTATATATATTGAAACGCATATGTCGAACGTAATTCTCTTTATTTTGCATATGAAACTTTGAAAAGATGATTGATTTGATCACTAAATTGATTGATTTTATCCGTTGATCCAAGTGTTTCGAGAGAGTTTCATCGTGGAATAATTTTCAGTGGATTGTTCATCAATATCACATTTGTTGCAAGTAATTGATGATAATATATAATAAAATTAGAGATTATATGATGATATAATCGCTATCCAGTGGTAAAATAAAAACTAAATTGATTGATCATGTCTTTTAACGAATACACTGCAATAGCCATATACATATCTTTGAAGGCGTCAATATTATTCAACTCAAAGAACGTTTGTCCAATGAATGTGTACTTGCTTGACAATCTATGATTCCTGTATTACATTTCGATAAGAACAAACAGACATATACATAGAATCGAATGCACATGTATATAAACAATCTACACTTTCTTGTGATCTAAGGAAATAGTGAGAACAATCCGCATATATGCTTTGTACGTTATGGATAGGATTGGAAATATTACATTATAACTAAACCTAGCTTACATGATCCTAAATCTAGCTTAAATGACTAGGGCTAGAAAATGTTACAATACAACATATGATCAGAGACAGAAGATAGTAGATCTACGACGTTGGTCCAGTGCATCATTCGTTGTCCCTTCAACAACATCATATTCTCACCCTTTCTCTTCAAAAACTCTAATGAAAAATTGTTACTCTCCTCGTCTTTATCAGAATCTGCTGATTTCGAGCTTATTCTTCGCCTGTTGACAAGATCGATATAAGTCCCAAGATCGTGAACGCAAGAAATGTTTTGAACATCAAAGAAATCCAGTGTGAGTTCAACCCCAACATGAGCATAACATGAACAGCTCCATGGAAGCTCATAAAAACCACCTAAAACCCTAAAATTCTCATTGAATAAAACGCCTGGAAGTTTAGTGATCGGATCGTTAACGTTAGTGATCCTCAAAACCTTAACCCCTAGCTCCTCACAACGTTTCTTGAACCCCAAGTTACCAACTCTAGGACCCGCGAAAGAGAAGACGGTTATCGGTACATCTCTCTCACCTATCCTCCGGTTTAAACCTAGCTCTGCAATGTCGTAAGCAAGAAGATGAGCCAACGAGCTTCCCATGCTATGTCCAGCGAGTGTTATACTCATTTCTTCTCCTTTGTACTTATTCATCAATCTCGAGATTTCAGACAGAAGCTGCTCTCTGCAGCTCTCTAGTCCGAACTTGCTCTCACTCTCATCAGATGTGTATAAACTCAAGAACCCTGATTCCACCTTCACATCGGGACGTGTGTTATGGGGATCGAACCTAGCTGGAGCCAAAGAGCTCATGAAGTTTGTGACCCATTCGGGATTAGTTACCGTTCCACGAAACGTCACAACAATGTCTCTCCTCCCTAAACGTTTTACCGATTCATCAGATGAAACGGCGACGTAGCCTACCCAGCGTGCGCCCTTATTCGCCTCGTTCTGTATCGGACTGATGCTGATGTTGATGTCCGGTGTGGCGTAGATATATTTGGTGACTTGGTATTCCTCAGGTTGGTCGACTCCGGTTTCTTTAAGTAGAGTTTTTTTGCCATACTTGCAGTTCAAGTAACGTTTTGAATTAGGGTTTAGGTCGAAGGCTTTGTAACATGTGGAGACTAAGTTGCCGTAGCGAGTGATCTCTTGTTGGAGAAGAGGGTTTAAAGGTTCGATGAGATCTTTCCAGTTGTTACACCCTTGTATCTCTCTCCAAACCCTAGCCAACGGTACAGTAGTCACTTCTTCACCAGAGCATGGGGCCTGAGCTCGAGGTGTAGCAACCGGAGATGTAAGAATACGTGGTGCTAATACAGCAGAAGAAGAAACTACGAGTCTTTTGGGGGTGTTTTTGGAACTGGGGAGAGAGACAACATGAGGAAGAAAAAGAGTTTGGTCTGATCTTAGAAATGGAACATGTTTCAGATTAGGGCTTTGGAACAAGGACTTAGCAGCCATTGTTGGAAGAAAGTAGAGAGAAAGAAGTTCGTGGAAGTGTTAAGAGACTAAGGTATGTGTAGGTGTACTTATAGTGTCGTATTGAGAGAGTTCAATATGTTTTTGCGTGTATTTGACTGAAAACCGATCGAGGTTAAAATATTCAAATTACGATCATGTTTTGGGGACAATTAAGAATTATTTTATGTGGACGGTAATGTATATTTATTGTTTTTTATAATTTCGTCTTGCAATTCTTCCCTAGTTCAGTCTTTTCTACGCGTTACCATAGCATGTGTATGTGGATGCAAAATAAGATAATGATATATCTTTAACTCCATTTACCAACCTCGTACGTATATATTTAGAGAATATACTCATTCCAAATTCGGATTAGTCCGAGTGCCCATTTGACCATAAATTAACGTAGTCAGCTGATTTTGGTTTCGATCGAAAACCATTGAGTGAGACCATTTTTGGTTAACTATAGATAGGTGATCCGGGACAGGCCGGGTCAGTATTAAACTGGAGCCAAGGGCTTGTATCTGGTCTGTTTCTAAAAATAACTTAAGTTGCTCGACTAGCCCTAGGTACGAGTCAACCCGACCAGTAAAGCCTAACTCACAGGTTTTAACTGGACGAGACCAACTCTTACCCAAGGTAAGAAATAAGTAATATGTCTTATTACACACGTAAAAAAAAACACATGACAAATTAAACTGTCCAATTCTAGTCGAAGCCAACATTGCAATTTTCATCTTTAAAATTTTAAAACTAGCTTAGATGGTGTTATTGGTTTATGTATTTTAGTGGATTTAAAAATCCAAGTCAAATCCCATGTTATTGGTTTTATGATTTTAAAATCTATATTCAAATCTAGTGTTATTGGTTTTATGATTTTAAAATCTATATTCAAATACAATGTTATTAGTTCTATGATTTTAAAATGGATTTTAAAATCATGTGTTATATTCAATAATAAATATTTGTTTTAAGATTTGATTTAGAATTAGATTTTTGTGGATTTATAAGATCAAAATACAAAAGAACAAATATTGAGTCTAGCCTTGTTATTCGATTAGTGATTTAAAATCAATTTGTAAATATTTTATAATCTATCAGATTTTTAAATTTTAAGTTTGTTAAAGTTGTGGATTCTAAATCTCTGCGATACCCTTTGGATTTTGAGTTTAATCATTTATTCATTAGAATCCATCACCGATGATTTGAAATCTATATATATTACAAAGAACTTTAAAATCGTTAAAAGTTGAATAACACCAGATTTTAGAACTTGAAATTCAATCATAGAATGAATAACACTGAATTTTAAAATAGAATTTAGAATCATGAATTGAATAATAGTGGATTGTGTTTAGATTTAAACTCTTTTAAAATACATGATTGAATAACACCATCTTATTTTGGTTAGATTTGTATTATTAATTTTTTTCAAGACAGAACACAACCCACGATTTGTAAAGCCTAACACCAATCATCAATGCTTTGTTGCGCCTAAGCAACACCATCTTCTCTGCTTTCTCTCAAATAATCGGCCCACACCTGTAGATGAACCTCTCGTAGACTAGAGACAAATCGACGAAGAGGTGAAAAGCCTTACGAAGTTCGGTACTCACAATCCCAAAGATGAATTCGCTGATGAGCTCGTCCCATCCTCCATTATCCAACATGATAACATCGTAAGCGACGCAAGAGACGATTCGTCCAAGGATTTTGGTTCCTACTTTTTTGGTTTCTTGAATCTTCAAGCAAGAAATCAAAAGCGGCTTGATGTCGTTAAGAGAAGATGATGAGGAACTTTCTGACCAGATTATCATCTACCACTCATAATAAACTCTTGTGTTTTATATTGGACGGCTGCGGAATGGAGAAAGATGGAGTGGAATCTGAGGACGCCATTGGTAGAACATTGGTATTGTTTCAAAAGCTTTAGGGTTAAGAAATTATTGAGGATGTCACTATATGGATTTACATAAATCTGTTTATTTGATTTTCAAATCTATTTCATATATTTTGAAATCTATTATTAAAGATTTCTAAATCCAATAAATCCATGAATTTATCAAAAAATTCAAATCCAACAAAATCATTAAAATATCAGAACCAATAACCCCCACTTAGTATGTTGTTGATAAAAAAAATTGAAATGATATATCAATTCTATTTCAGAGATCTCAGCTTTTTATTGCAAAATATGTATCCCAATTACATCCATTGACAAAAAAAAATTATCCCTTGTATAATGATGCACCTGGTATTCTTAAAACAAATCAACAACAAATCCAAAAAGATTTGCAAATCACATTTGTTTTGTCATATATATAATTAGGAAAAAGAGAGGAAAATGTAACAGTTAAAGCAACACAAGTTCAATGAACTTTTCCTAGGTTGTTTTCGAAAACTAAAAAGTCAGTATTTAGTTAAGTTTTAGGTCTTGTCAACTTTTATTATTTTTGGGGCTGGGTCGAACTTTTTACTTTTCGACAGAGATATAATCAATATCAAAAACAAGAAAAACGTATATAAACGTAAAATATTTTTTTTACTAATTTTTTAATATCAACTGATTTTCATTATTATGAAGTATAGTTTACATAGTCTCCTCTCCATAGAGGAGATTGGTAACAACTGATAGAACATAATAATGAAAAAAATGAAAAATTGTCTGGAAGCCTCTGTGTGGCTAGTTTTTACTAAATTTTTTTCATTGTGAAACAAAATTCAGTTTGTCCATTTGTTTTTTTAAACAAGTCATCTTTAAAATATATATATATATATATATATATATTATAAATTTTCTACTTTTGATGATATATTAATACATTCATATACAGTGTTTCGAGAGATGAATTTATATATCTCTCACAATTCGGTTATTCTTAAAAAAAAAATTGTTGAAAATTGTCTGAAAATATCAAATGAAATATTTAAAAAATCGCATTCCAATACCTATAGATGAAGAAGAATATATATATATATATTATATGGTTTACGAATACAATTAAATAACATTAAGTTATACACACATTTGACCTTTTCATACTCCCTCTGTTTTTATTTAAATGACGTTTTGGAACAATTTTTCTGTTTCACAATAATTGACGTTCTCAGAAACCAATGTGAGTTATAGTGACAAAAGATTGTATTTGCCGTGTACTTTACTATATTCCATGTACTTTACAATGTAAATTAGTCGATTAATGAATGATAGAAAAGATAATGGACCACTTGTCTTAATCTATGTGCAAATGTGTATAACGTCATATAAAGAAAAACAGAGGGAGTATAATGGATCGGCTCTCAAGGACAGAATCCAATAGAAACACAACTCACCCCTGGAATTTGGATGGAAGACAATGTTGGATTGTTTCTGGCAGCATATACCATTCCAACAATCCCATGACTGAACAACATGTTCTTATTTTTGGGACCATGTGTAGGCCTTGGAAATCAGAAAAATGATTTGATTTGTATGATAGATAGAAGCAGATTTAATTAAATTGCTTCCCAACGAAAATCACAAATACCAGCAAAATGGTTAACTAAGTTCGTACCTTTTTTTATGTGGAATTATAGTGCACTTATAGAATATTAATGTCCAAGAAAAATCATATATACACAAAAATTGTTGTAATCTTTTACCCGAGACTACTTAATATATATATATAACTCCAATTAATCATTTTCTCTCAGCAACTGCATCATATACCAATTAAACCATATATTAGCAATATGGATAAATGAGAATATGTTTAATGTGTTTAATGAAAGAAAATATAACCCTGTGTACATGTTGAGACTCCTTAAATTTTAGTCAAATAGTGTCAAATAGCTTATATTATACAAGTGTTTACATATTAGCATAAACGCATATATGGTAATTAATGTATGTCTTTATCATCCTCTATATATTAAAAGATAATCATTATAATAAATGTGTTCATACAATAACGAACACGAGTCATCCTCATAAGTATTTCAACTTTATAATAATGACGTCTCAATCTTATAATTTAATTTGTTTACACACTAATTTTTTTAATCAATTCATTTTTAGTTTTTGCATTTGTAATATTTGTATTAGTGAATTGATTTTTTCTTCATGTAACTACTAAATAATATCATTACTGAAAAAAAAAAATTAGAAATCATTAAGATTCACATCAATTAAAATATTGGGATGAGAATGTTTTTAGAAACTGAAAGTTTCATACCTACCAGAACTTGGTCATGGCTGACGCTTTTGTACATGAAGGCAACAAATAATTGAGTTTGACTCTGAATTAAGAAATCTGAGGTGAAAAACACCACACTTAACATCGGATCTTTAATTTAGACAAATACTATTTTTAATAGAATTTTCATATCAGACCAAGAATTAAAAATAAAATCAAATTGCTAGAAAAAATCAGAAATTAGAAAAACATTAAATAGAAATAAAATTCGCGAAATCGATTGAAAAAACAAAATTCAGGTACTGGGTGAAGAAATCACATTATTTTCAACGCAACCATAACCTCCCTTTCACTCGATTATATCGTATTTTTATTATATTTACTAAAAAAATTATAAGAAAATGCATATTATTAGTTATACACTGCATCAATTTGGCAACATACTCAACAATATTGACACGATCTCCAACTGCTTTTATTGGTATTCATAAAATATGGTCCAGTAACTATGTATGTAAAATAAGCCCAAAATATTTGTTTTAGTTATTTTATGTTTCTTAATATTAGTAGAAAAAATAAGTTTAGGTAAATATATAGATTCGTAGAACCGATCTGAACTTTACTCGAAAGTAATACTTCGCACAAACTAAAATTAATTAAATACTCATATGGATCTAAAATTTAATATCCGCATATCCAAATCCAATCTAAACTGAATTATTTTGGATACCAAAAATATTTAAATCACAGTTATATACTTAAATATATTGTTTATTTTTCAATTATATATATATATATATATATATATATATATATATATATTACATATTAAAAATATGAATCCTCA